TATTTAAATAAAAGTATATTAAATAAGAATTATGATACTTAGATAAGACTTGTGAAATACAGACGAGAAATAATGCAATCGAATAAAGTTTAATTTTTAATTTAAATTATAATATCAGAAATATAGAATATCAGCAATATGAGAAATAAATGTGTTTGAAAAACTATCCATTATTTCATTAATAATTAGTAATAATAAATGTTGAAAGATAAAAATGGAGGTTAGATTTTTTCATAATTATACATTTTTTTTAATTAAAGATAATTATTTTTTAATTTTCAATTTAAAAAAAAATGCCGCATTAATTTACATATTTATATAAATATTTAGAATAATCTTACTTTCATATTGGGTAAATAATAAAAAGCAAATTTGAATTCATTTATACATTTTATTTATTTAATATTTATTTAAATAAGCATAATTTATAAATAAGCATTACGCACTAACTTGTACAATATAAAATATAACAAAAGTTATTAGACATTATACTAGTCATTAATAAAATTTTAATGACTTCTTTGGATTTGCTCTACTTATGCATAAATTAGTACATGTTGCAATCTATAAAAATATACACATTTTCAATAATCATCATAGTACTCTTCATCACTTTTGTGATGATGTTTTCCATGTGCAATTATCTTATAGATCGTATGTGTATGCTTCACATTCTTCACCTGATAAGGGACGTGTATTACCACTTTCTTCCTAAAAAAAGAAGTCTTAAAATATGACACTTTTACAAATACTTTTCATGTTTGTTTATTATATTTCCATATAACTTGACTATAAATACTTACGACCCAATCGATTGATGTATCAGTACAAAGACTGTTAAAAACAAAATAATACACTGCAACAAACAAACATTATTATATGTAATATTTTTTATATATGTATAACTATCTCTCTATTTTGCTGTTTATATAAACTCTTCTGAATTAAATTTAAAAAATAGAAATATTTAAAGAAATTAAATATATCAAATAAAAATTATTTATAAAATGGATATATCAAACATGTTATTTTTCGAATCACTTGTTACTCGTAAATTAAATTTATTTAAAATCTAATATTAAAATTAAAATTAAAATTAAGTAAAAATTAAAATAAATTAAATTATACTTTCAATTAAATACTAAATTTAATTAAGATTAAAATGTAGTGTTGTAATAAATACATCTTACCAAAAATTTGTACCGCATTGTGGAAAACATCAATCCGTTTGTCTGTAAAGCCTTTCTCGAAGCACTTTAAACAATCGAGAGATATCTTCTGAGCATCGCGTAGCTACGAAGCAAACGTTTATATAGTGTAACCAGTAACTAGCGAGGAGAATCTCTACAAAATATTCTATGAAACTCCGCCCACATGCATTTATCACAATCACTTGTATTTATCGCTCTAAAATATCACAAAACAATCTTTTTACGGGTTTCCTAATGATTTTCACATATTTTGACGCCGCTTTGTTAACAAGCGTTATTATCATTAAATGTTTATTATAAAATATAATTTTTATTATAAAATCTTTGTGTATATAATTTATTTTAGTTTCTCTATCACTGAATAACTCTGAAGAATAATATCTCTAAAGATATTAATCAACTAATACATTAATTTTATAACGTTATTACAACATATTTATTGAAAGTTTTTAATGTAAACTTGCGTGATAAGAAAAACGTAATTTTATTCATATATAACAAGTACTTTTATTGAGTCAAGAACATTGTGAAAATGCATTTTCATGTAAATATGAAAAAGGAGGCAGAATATGTAAATTATGTAAGGGCGCAGTAGAGAATATACATAATAAATGTATATATAAGAGTCGTTTGAAAAGTTTTGAGCCTCAACGTGAAAAAAATCAAAACTATTCTCGACGTCAATGTTTTCGTTTGATGAAAATCTTTGTCCTCTGAGCGTAACTTTAAACCTAGGAAATAGAAAAAAGTCGTTGGGGATCAGATCTGGTGAATACGATGGATAATTAATTAATTCAAACCGCAATTTGTAAATTTTTGTTATGGCGATCGTCAATATTCGACTTTTTTTTCATTTTTACAAAAACACTGACATCGACTGGCACAAATGACTCTCAAACAACAACTAAGCGTTCAAAATGGCTACAATTTTCTCAGGTATCTTGCAAAACATGTACGATTGTAGTCCAGAATAGTTTTGACGAGTAATGCCATTTTCATGTTGCTCAAAACTTTTTAAACGACCCTCGTATGTCTATATGTGTTAAGGAGTGTGAAGCTAGAATGAGCATGCAGATAGATAAATTTATAAACGAAGAGGAAAAAAGATTTTTAGACAATAAAAAGGGGAGAAGAAGAAAAAGCAATAGAGATTAAGTAAGATATTGTATTAGGAGGAAGTAAGAAGATGAATGTGAAAGTAGGAGTATAATTAGTTCGAAAAAAATTAAATAATAAAAATTAATATTATGTTAAAAAAATAAATAATATATTGTATCTAAAGTGATAATCATCTTAAACCGCAAAACAAGGACTAAGAGAAATAAAAATATTATGTAAATGCAAAGGTTATAAATTCAGCAGCTTAACAGTGATTCGTGTATTCTTTCTCTTCAAATTGTGACATTTTGAAGGTGCAAGCAAACAACAAATTGTCCTGTTTAAATAAATGCGCGCGAGAGTCACTTAAAAGTGAAATCGATATAAAAAGAAGAGCACAAGAAACACCGCCTACATGCGCGTACATATTATACAAACGTGTTTCTGCGATTAGCAGCGCAGTTTCGCATTTTCCAGCGATCGAAGGAAAAGAAGAAATGGAAGAAAAGATCGCCGCGGCGTGACCACCTTGGCAATCGTGATCATAATCGCCGACCATGTTGATTTCACGGTCACGTTAATCTGTAGCGGATGGAAACGTTCAATGCGATTGATGCAAGGGCCGTGACCGTTACTTGGAAAGTGTACTTATCGCATTTTTCCACTCGTCATACATTTCTTTTCTTTTACTGAATATGTCTCACTGTAGATGAGCAATTAATGAAGAGTTATTGTAGAAATTGTTACAGTTCTACATGTATAATTACATTTTGTTTCCTTTTTTTTAGCCGCCTCCCTTATGTTATCAATTTTTTATTTATTAAAATAAGAAATCCTTTTACGTTTAATTTGTCATATTAGTCATAATTCTAAAAGCTGCAAATGCGTTAAATCTATGTCGCTCATATTCGTTAAAGTTTAAGAAATACAAATTTTATAGAAATAATAAATCTTATTGATTCATTAAAATGTAAAATTTTTGCTTGATTGGTCTAAATCAAAATGACCAGAGTAAAACTGTTTTTTTTTTTTTTCGAATTTTTAAACGGTATCCTCTTTTGCGTGTATGATAATATTCTTACTAAATTGATATTTTTCATTAATTGTACGAGTTATACTTTCATTGTGAAGGTACGTGTTAATACGATACATTTAACGTTAAACTGTATTACAAATGTATCATAAACGTACATCAAAACTTTCTAATACTGCGCATTACTTTAAGTGGATCCCTAATCGTACTTTAACAATAATAATACCCACATTGTCTATATCGCTTTCCCATTCGTCACATGTAACTTATCTCTATGAAAGTAATTAGAAATTAAAACAAACCGAAAGTAAAATATTATTTATTTACTCTTAATAAGTATATCGATAACCAGTAAATCAAATAGAAATAAATCATACAGATATCTATCTATTTATTTATGTACAACTTAATAGTACAACAAAAAATATACACATGTATATATATAAACAAATTGATAAAGCTTTGATAGGTAATGCTTGTTTACAACAATGTTAGTTTTAATTTAATACGTATATACGATGACTCAGAACTATGGCTATGCTTTTTATCTAGAAATTCAATTATATATTTTGGTTTTTATTATTCCACTTCAAATCTTCTTCGTCAAAACTACTGAGCAGAAGAGATTGGATAAATAACAAAATCTTTCGTATAACTAACGATTAATCATCGATTGAATTTCAAGTAAAGTTTGTACAATTTTGATTACTTGGCAAAATATTTGTTATTAATTAATAGAAAAAAAGATTATTTCCAATTTAACCCAAGAATTGATACATCTCAGGAAATGATAACTATCTTGAAAAGTTTGCATTCTCTGTGCCATGTACGTAAAAACATGATAAGATAAATAATGCATATAACTTTTAAACAATAATACAACAACGATACCTTTTACTATGAGATACAAATGTTAATGTATCTCTCGTTGTTTCATGTTGTTCAATATAAAAAAAACAAACGTGTAGTCATTTTTATTTTGCAAATAATCAGTCCCCAAACCCGTTCCAATTCCTCAAATATAATTATCCTTAGTTACACACACTCTATAAAATATTCTCTTTAAAGATTCTACAAATATCTCGAATTTAAATTACGACAACCATTTCAACTAATTTTGAGATAGAAATAAGGCAACAAGTACGTAGCTACAATACTTAATCTTTGAAGCATAGCTTATCTAAATCGATTGTATCGATTATGCAGAATATAAACATACATTTGTTAATACACGCAAATATATACTTTTTCGATTTTTGCCTAAAACGTAAAGGATCACAAGCTATTTTGGATAAAATCGCACATTAAACATGTCGTCACGACTAACGCGTAAAATGCATAAGTATTTAAATGCCTAAACACGCGCATTACTGTCTACAGTTGATTGCACCTAAGGAAAAAAAAATGCGCTATTACGTACAAATTATCAAGTAGTACTTGATTTTGTATTCGAAATCGCACTACGGTACTTTGATCGCCTTGTTGTCTTTGTTTCTTCCGTCGTACTACTCATCGTCGATTTTCGCGTCGTGCTATTCGCTTCCGTTCCCCTGAATACAAAACTAGGTTTTTTCATTAGCGTAGGCCGCTTCCGCATTTGTCGCCTTCTCGTGGTATTTTTCGATATGGACGCCTCCGACGTGCCGTTTATCGGCAATCTTTCCGTCGTACTGCTCGCTCGCGATTTCTTTGATAAATTACTTAACATTGAGCCACTCAATGTCGTTTCACTCCTGATTGATTCCGTCGTATTCTTAATCGTTTTAATTAATGTCGGAGATCTTTCCGTCGTGCTGTTCGTCACAAAACTCTCGATCGTCATCATCAATTTCTGCGGTTCCTCTACCCAGCTGCTCTTTGTGACGACATTCGATTTCAAAGTTTCAACTGTACTCGCCACCGGTTTTGGAGTAATCATAATCGATTCAATATTAGTAGCCGACTGTGGCTGCACGATTTTGATAGTAGTTTCCAGTTGAGGCGTCAAAACGCTCGTAGATTCCGTTCGTTCGCATTTATCCCCTTTGTCCGAAGTTAAACATCTTGGATTTCGAGTGGCCGCGTCTGGAGGGTTGTGACGTTTATCATTTCGTCGTTGATCGAACCTCTTTGTTTCGATCGTGCTCGGCGTAGGAGCATTAATCAATTGCTGTTTCGTGATGGTCTCGTAGTGATTACTGCTCGCGATCTTCGCCAAATTAGCGACCGCCTTTTGCAAATCCGTGTCCTCGGACGTGAACATTAGCGGCTGCCATTTCTCGCGATCGCTGTCGAAGACGATCTCCTCGCTCTTCTGGAAATTCGGTTCGCTCTTCTCTCGTTTCACTTTTCCCCATGTCACCTGCTCGATTGGGAGCTGTTCACCGTTATGCGCAGTGTATTCCAATACTTTATTAGCATGATTCTTCGAGACTGGTCGTGAGTCAATAAGATAAGCTGGTGGATTAATGACATGAAGTGCATCCTGAGAACTTGAACCAGTTTGGACGTCGTATCGCGCCTCGTGAGAAGTGGTCGCATAAGAGCTTGGCAGTGACGGAACGTTGGTCGGTTTCTCGTGAGAACTAGTATAGATAGTAGGGGTACTGAAAAGATCGTTCTGCTTGAAGTAAGAAGTGGGACTTGGGGCGTTGTTGAACTCGTTTTGACTTTGATAAGAGATCGGATAGGAGCTCGGGGCGTTGCTAAACTCGTTTTGTTTCTGATAAGTGGTCGAGTAAGGAGGCGGAATGGTGTAAGACTGATCGGGATAGAATCCCGGTGCTGCGTTAACATCGCTGTACTGCTCGTACGTACTTGAATAGTGACTAGGGGAGGTGTAGCTGTCGCTAGGTACTTTATACGTATTCTCGTAAGAGCTGAAATCGGTGTGTTCCATTGCCGACAGCGGATACAACGGGGCGATCTGCCGAAGGGGCAAACGATGTGTGGTTAACTGGTACCAGGGTTCTATAGAATCCTGTTCATTCTCCGTTGTATTTTTAATCATCTCCGTTACATGTTTCACGGCGTCATCTCCTGATTGGTATTGATAGTACAAGTGGTGATTCTTATCCCTTTCCGCTCCGCTCGCTGCTTCCACTCCAACGGGCTCGGGCGATACATTTTCCTTATTGATGTCCTTGAAATTCTTTGAAGGACGTTTCGATTTAACCACAGGTTTAGGCTGCGGTTCTCGATTTTTATCAGAAATATGGCTAGTGTTTCGAGACATTTGAATCGAATGATGACGATTAGAGGAACTCGTGAATATTGGGTCACTTGATTCAACAGGGTGTTTCTTCAAAAGCGTGACAGAGGGATCGATGAAAGGTAAATATGGTAAGAAAGATTCGTGTTCCCGATATTCCTCGTCGATCACAGGAGCCGGTATTTCTGTTACAAAACGCACATTAACGTGAGTCGAATCGATCGGTTCCAACAGCCGTAGATAGATCTGGCGCTTGGATCCCGGCATCTTGATAGGTCCGACGACCGGACCCAGTTCCTTCTTAGGCGGGTCCAATAATTGTTGCAGTATGTCTGCGATGGAATCGAAAATAGTCTTCTTTGTGGTAACGCGAAACACGGGCTTAATATATATCGGTCCTTTGTCCTCTTCGGGAATTGATTCATGAATGATCTCGTGAATGTCATTATCGTCCACCTCATACGTTGATCCGACAATCGAACGGGCTTTTAAACGTTTTACTAAACGTTTCGAACGATCGCGGGGTTGATATTGTTGTTTTTTAGACCGGGGTTCGTGGACCATACTCTGAAAGGATTTCTGGATTGTTTGAATTTGTCCCGGAGATCGAGGATTTCGCAACATAGGAAATACATCGGAAAGAATTCCAGAATTGGGATTTAATTCTTTCCTAGCCGTAGCATTATCGAGGCTCGATTCTTCTCGCGATCTTGTTTTCCTTAGTCTGGAAAATAATATATAAATATATATATATATGTATATATAAAAGAAAACTCCCTATTATAAGAATAGGCGCTTAATATGAGATAGCGGCGTTTCTGCTAAATTAATAAACGTTATCTTATCATGGTTTTACCATGAATTTATTGTTCTTGGATTAAAAACTATTTAGTAGAAAATTTATTAGATCATGCCTGTAGGCATTGTATAAAATAAGATTTTAGAATTTGGATATCTTCAAGTTTCATTGAGATGAGCCTTTAAACCTTGTTTATTATTTAATAAAAAAAAATATTTGGCAATAAATTCTTCATATAGTGATAGAATAAGGTCTTACTAATAGAAAAATACGGGATCTGTTGAATTATTTACAGAAGTTAAATTTGATCGTAAAACTATAAGACGTGGAAATCGTAATATGAGATACCCCGGATATTTCTAATATAAAATAACCTATACTTCTATGTTATAGTGAAAATCGTTGCTAAAGTATAAATATTATTGTATAATAAAATTGTAATAATAAAAAAGACAACCGGGATGAACGTCAAGTGCCTATTTCTACGATGCTTGATTTCAACTACCTGAAGACGAGTTTTGGGTATAATTTATCGCATGCTCATTTTTCGCATACGCTGGCTGTATTAATTTGCATTTTAGAAACATTAAATAATATTTTTTAATTACAATACTGATACACTTTGCGTTTTACTATCGATTTCTCGGAGCATCTCATATTAGAAGCACAATTTTTTGACTTTGCGATTTTTACATTTATTTAATTTAAAAAAAAATATAATTTAAATTAAATTTTATATAATGTTATCTTCAAGCTTATTAAATTCCCTTCAAAATGACTAATTATTTTTAAAAATTCTGCCTCTAGACTTCTAGCATTTATCCAAAATAAACTCGGTATCTCATAATAGGGGCCTTTTCTTTCTTTCTTTGTGTGTGTGT